CACAAAGAGACAGTGACACCTCCAACTCACTGAGCTGAGAACGCGGCTCACCTTTCCTATCGTCTCTGGGCTCCCTCCGCGGCGTGCGGAGCGGAGAAGCTGAACAAAACCGTGAGGGTCCGTCAGAAGCTCGGAATTGTGACACATTTTAAATGAGTAGAACTGATCATTTAAAAACCTCGCTAAACTGCTTTTTCCGTTGTATTACAACGGGTCCTTTTACAAAACAAACGAGGTGTTTAGTAGGCGGGGGGCTAATCTGCGCACATCCATGTCCCGCAAACAGCAATGAAGTGAATAACCAATTTTATCTGGGGGATTTTTGGCCAGGACGCCGAGAGAGAGAGACAGAAAGAGAGACAAGTGGTGCCATTTAACGTCCCCACACCACCCGCCCACCTCCCCCCGTCAAGAGTTACTCGCAGCCAACAATCGCCCAAATAAAAAATGGTCATTCACCTCTTGGCTGTTTGTGGGACATTCCCATCTACCACGTTTGACTACAAAAACAGTCACTACATTTGAGAGTGAAACCTGAGAAGAGTTCTGAGACGCCCTCCCAACGTGAAGGGCACTGGACCAAATGCGAGGATTATTTGAAATGTTTGAACTGACGCAGTTCAGCTACAGGAAACCAACTCCGGATCTCAAGGGCTTCAGATTCAGGGATTTTGTAGCTGCAATGGAACAGGACTCTTTTTTATATATAATCTTTAATTAAGTGACTGAGACAGTTCACAGAGACTAAATGCCGATTCCCATGATTAGCACTGATCTGTATATCGTGCTCTAATACTCTTTAACGCTAAAAGTGAAGATAAGACCTTGGGTTTTGAATACGAGCTAATAATCCTTGCATTTCGTACAGCACCTTATCACGTTGAATCTTCTCAAACTGCTTCAGTAAGGTGTAGTGACTGCATTTGTGGGTAAATACTTTCAGCTATTATGAGCTCAGAAATGTCGCGGTGGGTGAATGACCAATTTTTTTTTCAGCTAGGGAATGTTGGCCAGGATACTGCGGAAAAAGTTCCTTTCCTTTTCCAAAGGTGCCACGGAATCTTAAACATCCTGCTGCGCAGGCAGACGCGATCTTGCTTTGATATCTCACCCGAAGAACGGACACCTCCCAACAATGCGGCGCTCTCTCTCCCAGAACCTGCCCCAAACTCTCAACTGCTGACCAGAATCACGTCAGGGATCACACTCGTGACTCGCCACGTTGAAGGAAGGATTACGGATTTATACGGCAGTCGGTGCAAATTTGTTGAGCAATAATTTGGCCAATGTATTATATAGAGATTTGTTTACAGGGTAGATGTAAACTGCACGTGTTTCAATCCTCAGCTAGTGAGAGTGCAGTTTGTTGATCGGGATTGGATGCACATGAATGAGCCATGCAGGTCATCCACTGGCCATTCAGAATTTTGCATAAATACAAATAATAATACATAATAATCCTTGCAGTTGATACCGCGCTTTTCATGTCTTTTTGAGACGTCTCAAAGCACTTCGCAGGACAGACTGTAAAGTGAATTGACTGTATATTTGTGGGTATAAACACGAAAGCCAATTGCGCACAGCAGTGTCCCACAAATAGTCCTGGATTGAGTGACCAAATTATTATTTTTTTTAAAGATTATTATCCCCATTAAAGTGATCCACCAATCGACTAACAACCGGGTTCTACTTACTGAGTCCTATAGCTCAGTGGTTAGAGCACTCGCTTTGCAAGCGTGAGACCCGAGTTCAATTCCAGGCAGAGGGCGAAACCTTGGGCAAGTTTCCTTACTCCACACAGAGCCTAATAATAATCCCTCCAAAACCAAAAACAATAATAAATTGGTCATTTTCAATCTACGACTGTTTGTGGGACATTGCTGTGCGCAATTGGCTGCCGCGTTCGCCCACAAATATACAGTCAATTCACTTTGCAGTGTGTTCTGTGAAGCGCTTTGGGACGTCCTCCCGACGTGAAAAGCGCTATATCAAATGCAAGGATTATTATTATTATTATTACTGCTAGGTAAACGGAGGCGTGGGGAGTAAGGAAACTTGCCCAACGTTTTGCCCTGACACGAATCAAACCCAGGTCTCTCACTTGTGAGGCGAGTGCTCTAACCACTGAGCTACAGGACTAGCTATTATACACATACTATACACACAGTATTGCTAACATGCTTGATTGCTCTCACTTCCATTCACGAACGAAGATCGTACAAGTGACGTTTCAAATGTCTGAGGTGCAAAAGAAGACTTTTGTGATTGAAGAAATCACGGCTGAAATTGGTGCTATTATGGTGTATTTTGCAATTGACTAATCGATGGTAAACCTGTGGTCTTTTGTGCATAGATATGTTTTGATGGATGGCCAGTTCTTTGGTGCTGGCCCCTACCATTGGGTTATTTATTATGTCCTCCCCTGGTCCAAACACACAAGCAAACAATGACCACATGGAGTTATTCAAGCAGGGCAGGCAAGCTGTTGAGATTGCACATCTAGTTTACACAGAGGCTTTAAATGGTTTCATAGGTAATATTCCCTACCGTTTGGAATTAGCACCGAGGGACTTTTCTCATCCACTTGGAACAGAAGGGACTTCAATTACGGTCTTATCCAAACATTAAATAATGCTTCACTCATCGCTAAGAGAGGGCATGGAATAAATACAGTACCCAGAGGTCAGCTTTGTAGTTACAAGATGTCAGATTAATTCCTGCACGCTGTCTGCAGAATCAGCACCAGATATTAGATATGTCAGATACAACACTAGATATCCAAAAGGCTGTGGATTCTGGATCCATTCAAATTTGCACGACCGAGGTGGATAGATGTGTTAGGTCAGGGTATCAAGGGATATGGGGCAAGGGCTGGTAACTGGAGTTTAGGTTCAGATCAGCCATGATCTTATCGAATGGTGGAACAGGCTCGAGGGGCTGAATGGCCTCCTCCTGTTCCTATATTAATATTTGGTTACCAAGCATTAAACTGTGAGCAGCAGTTGAACAATAATAATAATAATCCTTGCACTTGATATAGCGCCTTATCGCGCCTTCGAAACATCTCAAAGGGTTTGAATGTTATTGAATAAGCTGTACAGTAATTAAGCAATGCCATGGTTGGATAGGTCTGATACCAAGAGGTAGCTGAGTACTCAACCTCCGATCAAGGTCAGAAGTCAAATCCCAGAGAGCTGCCAGCCACTCGCGCAAACCAGCCTGGCTCTCTCCGGGTGGCTATTGTCCCACGGAATGCAAGATGGAGCCAAGAGATGAAAAGCTACACACGTCATCATCTGCCGAGTTCAAAACGTATCTGAAGTCGAAAGAGAGCGGAAAGAGGAACCATTTAATGTTACAACAGCGGGTAAGGAAACGAATATGCTGCACACAATCCTTTGCAGGCAAACGCTCGATTTATCTATACTTCCTCTCATCCCACTAATCTTAACCAGAACCCCTGCTTGAAGCTCATATTGCTACGTTAAAGCCAGTGCCAAAATACAATCAAACTCATGGGAATAGCAAATTAGTTCATCTTATGAAGGTTTCCGGCTATTCTACTGATTAGAATGGGATTCAAGCGGCAACCAGAATAAAAAGCAACTTGTTGCACTGTTTAGAACAACAATTTGTGGTGATGATGTTTTACCACCTTTGACTGTACATAAAGAACATCGTTTAACAGCTGTATGACAAGGCGAGGCAGCGTTGAAGGTTAGCAATGGACGTTTAACCTTTGGGAACTTCGAGACAGCTTATAACTGTTTGAGAGGACCATTTCCATTTCTTATGATTCCCAATTGAATAGTCTCACAAGCACTGTTGCCAGTGATTGAGACAAACATTCAGCTTCACTGCCAAACCTTCACTTCCGCCGCAGAGAATTTCAGGAGAGTTTCTGTGATTCAGATCCAAATAGAAACAAAATGTTTTTCTTTTAACGGGTTCAGTTCTTCAAACTTTGAAGATCAAAACCTTTGAAGGTTTTATGTTATCCACCTGAAGCCAAAGAGAAGCCCTTGAATGTTGAACCTGCGTTAATTATCTCTTCCTCATCTCATGTTCCTCCCGAGCCCTGCTCAACATTATATGTCATCTTCCAGATGAAGAAGGGAAATCGTCAGAAATAGAACAAGCTGCTTATATGGTCTGAATGAGGCCTGGTACGGAAGAGGCAGATGGGAGCATCGCAAGCTACAACAAGAACAAAGATATCGGGAAAAGGCTTCAAAGAAGAGCATTAAGGGAAAGCATCAGTTCTTAAATAAATGCTCTAAGAAGAAAGGCCAATGGAGCAAATGTTGTTCTTAATGGAAAGAGTACAAGGGGAAATGCAGCAGAAGAACTGAAGAGCGATTGCAAGCCAGAAGTAACGATAATACTTGCATTTTATCCATGCCGTATTTTGCCCACAAAATATACAGTTAACTCACTTTACCGTGAAGCGCTTTGAGACGTCTCAAAGACGTGATAAGGCGCTGTATCAAATGGAAGGATTATTATTATTATTAGCACCTTATCACGTCGTTAGAAACATCTCAAGATCACTTCACATGGATTTTACTGTAAAATGCAGTATATTTGTAGGTGAACAAAGTACTGCATCAAATGGAAACTTGGCATAACAACAACAACAGCTTGCAATCATATAGCGCCCTTCATGAGGGGTAGCGCCCCTGAGCTTTTGGCTGAATTACGTGCACTCAGCCAAAGTGCGTACAATTCAGCCAAGGCGGACCTAATAGCTCTGGCCACCTTAGATGTGACCTACATGACATTTAACTAGGAAAACTTTGAACAAAAGGGGTGAAATAAATATCTTGACGGACTTGGGCCTCCCCTGAATGATTTATTTTTACAGCCATGATACACAGTCTGGAAAGGTTTATCTTGAAACAAATTCCAAATCACCTTTCTGAACACAGAAATGCTACAATTGCAGACCTTGAAGAGTTAATACTTTAAATAAAGGCAGAGACAGAATGCAATACACTTACCACTGGGGTTGAAAGCCATACAGGAAATGGGTTTATTGTCATGGGCCAGGAAATGAGTTACAATGCCTTCACCTTCCGTATCTTCGCTGACAAGTACCTGCATTATGAAGCAAAGAGAAGTAAGTTAGCACAATATTTCTTCTGTAATGCTGGGGTTGAAACAGGGTGGTTTTATATATGCTTTTAAAAAAGGTTCTACTTTTGGGGCCAAGAGGAAAAGGTTAATTACTAATAGACGATACATCCTATAGGAGGATCCATAACTAATGTTGAACAGCTTTTGGAAGTAAAGCACAGGTTAGCATGAGCAAAGTTACATATATATAATATAATATATAATATATATAAAATGTTATTGTAAATTATTGCCATCAAAAAATACAAGAGATTATAGGTTTCTGTTCATCCCTCAAAGTTCATGTCAATGGAGGTTTGAGTCACTTCTCAATCAGCCACGATTTCTGCTCTTAATCACCATCCACTGGCTCCCCAAATGTGTGTGTGTGTGTGTGTGTGTGTGTCCATCAGTTGAAGAAAGTACAAGACTCATGTTTAATGCTCTCTATAATCATTTAGTCTGCTGACACTCGAACAATGGCCATTTGGGAGAGGTAGTGAAAGGTGATCAGCAACCCACGAACTGTACTCCAGCAAAGGCTGGCAACTCAACAAGGAGGGAAGCAAATATAGTATTGAAAAAGACAGTAATATCTCAATGCTCAGATAATTTGACAAAGCACTCAGCTCCATTCGCAGTTAATGTCACCAACTTAAGAGTCGGCATCCATTACTGCCTGTAACAATTTCCTATCCATCCGTTGTCTTGTTTTTTGCTCGAGAACTAAACCGGACACCTTTTTTTTTTAACCTTGAAAAGGTCACTTTGCCACACACTAGCCCTGGATTGGAGGGAGGTGCTGAGCTCCAAAATTCATTTACACAAAACTACATAAATAAATAAAGCAACAGACTTTGAGGCGCTAAGCAGAAATGCACTGTTATTCCATTTTACAGTATGTGTTGTATGTTTATGTGTGTCTGTGTGTGCGCTATATACACAGCTTCAGGAATGTTTGCTTTACTTTACCACAGTAAATTCTGATGTCTTGCACGAACAGCTGCGAAGCAGGAAATTCTCAGGGTGTTCGAAATTGCACAATCCTAGAAATTTTTCCAATGTACGACACATTGTTGTTTGTTAAGCCACAGCTTTTATTGCAATCGGCACACAGTGTAACGTGCACTGGCGCCTTCACAAGGCACAACGAGATTAGGACTTAATGGGAAGGTTAAGAATCGAAAGAAACGTTCGTTTTAATTCCCGAATGACTTTGCGTTCGTGACATATGCATCGGATGGGTAGGCAAATTGCAAAGTATTGTATTTCAAACGTTTGAGAATTGGCTTAGCTATAAGAAGGTGATGATAAATGGAAAAAGTTCCATCTGGGGGCAGTGATTAGTAGAGTTCCACAGGGGTTCTCTCCCAGGCCCCTCCGGTTCACATTATTTATAAATGACCTATGTTGAGTACTTCCTGAAATATAAAATTTGCTGATACCAGGCTATGAGAAGGGGACAGGAGACTAAAGAGGATAAATAGCAGTCAAGAGAAATCTGGACCTAGTAAACAACGACTTGTACTTATATGGCACCTTTCAACACAGGGTCGACGTCTCAAAGCTCTTCGCAAAGACAAAAAAAGGGTTGAACAGAGCAGGGAGACAAAGACTGAGCAGGGAGAAGAGAAAGGGAAATGTGAGGGTGTTGACCAACAGGGCGATGATGAGATAGACTTGGTGGCAAAGCAACGAGGACCAAAGCGATGGGATTTTAGGAGAGAGTTTTGGAGACCAGGGGGTTGAGCAGCTGAAGGCTCGGCCACTGACAGTGAGATGGTGGCAGTGAAGAACGAACAGGGCAAGAATAATTATGAGTTTGAGAACCTTGCTTAGGTTCGTCAAAATCAGCCCTAATATTCCAAGAATTGGTCGTGAAAATTTGCCTTAATTTGACAAATAACCCCATCCTCCATTATCCCTCTCTCACCCCCACCAAAAAAAATGTCAGCCTTCAGGTTTGAGACGCTTTCCGGCAGTCTGGCATGCCGAGCCTTTAAGTCACCCAGAACAGTATGGGATTCTTTGTGAACCAAATCTCCTGCGTCGACTTTGAATCATTCAATAATTAGGAGAGAGAGAAAAAAGTCCAGAGTGCAAACATCTCCAGCTTCTCCCAGCTGCTGCTGAAAGACACTGGAGACTCCACACGGAGGAACGATTCGGGCTGTAACAGCTCCACCGCCAGTTGTTGGGGCTGGTCTGTAGGCTCTATCTGATCCATAATAAACCCGTCCACATCAAAGGACCCAGAGAGAGGCAAGTTGGAAGATCTGGTGATAATTTTTGAGACTCTGATTGCAACATTTCTAGAACTCCTCAAATGGTGAAAATCCAAGACAATGTCTTGCCCTTAAAAGGCCAATCTTCCTCGCTTGTGTCTACACCAGTTCGCGTGTGGAACTCTGGCATTGACCGAAAGGGCCACAATAGTCTCTCCCACTCCTCCACATTCCTATGTTCCTACATGAGGAACAGTTGTTACTGAGTACAGAGTCTACCATCCTATCCATCGGCCTTAAAATATACAGTCAATTCACTTTACAGTGTATTCTGTGAAGCGCTTTGAGGCGTCTCGAAGACGTAATAAGGTGCTGTATCAAATGTAAGCAGTACTATTATTCATCTGAAATCCAGGCTAGGAACGACCCAAAGGTTTACTTGAACTTGCAGCAGTTTTTCCAGTTTCTTTAAATATAAAAAAATCGCTTTCGCATCGATTCCCGCCTCATGTCCCATTCACAAACATCTCTCTCCCCCATCAACGTGGCCAAACCTGCATTATTATTATTTTCATTTCATTTCCCACGGAGCAAACGTAAAACTTGACAAAGCTGCACTTGGGTTTGGCTACTAACCACCGTTACATTGCACAAATGGTTTAAAGATGATTGTAGAAGGGATGATGAGCTGCAGTTGTCTTAAACTTGCGATCTCTTTTTCCAATGGACACTCCAGAAATATGGCAGCTAAGCACGGACACATTCTTTCATTGTGCCGTCATCATGTTTAATTAAATGAGTGAAAATCACCAGGGACTCTGTAAAAAGGCTGAGGTAAGTGAGAGAGGAAGTTGTGTAGTTTTGATTTATGGCAGTTATTAAATGCAATGTATCTTGGCCAAATAAAAGATTTCACTCATTTTAATCACCACTTTGATGTTAGTCATTAAAATCTGCACAAAAAAACTTTAAAGCCATGGAACACCAAATTAAGAGCACGCCCAGTTAAAAGAGATTCTTATTTTCCAGTTATAATCTTAATCACATTTTCAGAAGAATGGATTTTTGAAAAAATCTTTGAAGCTCTTTTTAACATTTCCATTCTACCTCCAATTCTATTTATTTGAAATAATTCCTTCAAAAAATAATAATACATTGGTAATAATAATAAATTGGTCACTTAATCCATGACTTGCTTGTGGGGACGCTGCTGAGCCCAATTGATTGCTGCCTTTCGCCCACAAAATATACAGTCAATTCACTTTAGAATGTATTCTGTGAAGAGCTTTGAGACGTCTCGAAGACGTGATAAGGGGCTGTGTCAAATGCAAGGATTATTATTATGACCAAATTAGAAACTAGTTCTCCTGGTCAGGGCCTCCTGTGTCAGGAGGGACTACCAGTTAATCACGAGAAAGTCCAGTCTCACCTGACAAACAAAATCCTGTCCTACCCATGGGGAAATCTGGAGGGCCTGCTCGTCCCTCACTACTCCTCACCTGCACCGCAGCGAAGCCCACAAATGTGCTGCTGTGAGCTACCACTCGGGTCAGTTAAACCAACACACAGGGTTTGGAACACAAGCCAACTTCACTCCTCCCCCCAATCCGTGTTGGTAAAATCAACCTCGTCAGAAGCCGAGAGATGTGTGACACAGGTGGAGGCAATTATGGCCCATTCTTTTTCGTGTTGGCGTTTGCTCTTGCAAAAGAAGCCGTCCATCTTAATCCCAATTTCCTGCTCGTTCCCTGTTCCCCGTCTCCGCTTAATAGTCTTCCTGTGCACATGCTTGTCCATTTACAGTGTATCCTGTGAAGCGCTTTGAGACGTCTCGAAGACATCATAAGGAGCTACGTCAAACCAAGGATCATTTTTTTTTAAATCTCCCGATCGCCTCCGCTCTGACAGCCGGCCAAGGCACATCATTCCACAGGCTTCGGAACCCGTCCTCTAATTCCCCAAGTCACAATCTTACATGAATGCCTCTTGTTCTCAAATCCCCAACCAGAGGAAAGAGTTTCTCACTATCAATTCTCTCAAACCCTTTCATTACCATAAACACCTCTACAGCACACCTCAACTTTCCCTAACCTCTCCAGCCCCTCCTCGTGATATCGGTATCATTCCTCATGATCCTACATTGCACTTTCCCCTTTGCTCTCATATCCTGTCTGTAATGTGGCTCCATAACTGCTCGTGATATTCAGCTACAGCCACACCAGTGTTTTGTACAGATTCAATACCACTTCCTTACTTTTAAAACCCACTTTGCTACTTTATTGGCCAGGACACCAGAGAAAATTCCCTTCTCTTTTTGAAGAGTGCAACGGGACCTTTAAAGTCCGCCTGAACAGGTACAAGTGGGAACCTTATCTTAACATCTCATCCGAAGGACAGTGGAGCTCTGTTATTCCATTGACTTCCCTCAGTATTTCTGGATACAACAGCAACTTGCATTTACATAACACCCCTCACACAGGACAGCGTTCCAGAATGCTTGGCTATCTACAAGCCATTGGAACCAGAGATTTATCTACTGTAAACCCCATTAACCCTTATCTCATCATCTTTTATTAACCTCTACATGTATTTATCAATATCTCGGCCATTGGGTTACACTGAGCTCTCACATCACCTTCTTCACCCCCACAGTAGCACCACTCCTCCCGCAACTCGATCCTGACCATTAATAAACTTAGGAAAGTAGTTACTAGTTCTGTTAATGATCCCAGGCTTTTCTCACAGTGTCTCTTGGCC